CCCAATAGCATGATTTAAAATAATTAAAAACGCTAAAAAAAAAAAAAAATTAAAAAACGCTGAGCATCACCTTGTCTAAGGCGAGTCCTGGCTGGATTGGGAATAGCAGAAGTGATGTGGGCCCTCACCTTGGGCTCCCTCCCACCCTGAGGACCCTCCACTGGGCCAGGGTCCAGGAGCAGCAAAAGGAAGGGAGCCTACTAATGTCAACATACTGGGAAGGAGAGAGCCTTGACCATACTGGAGTTTCCAGACTCTTCCTGCATCCCCTCGCTAGGGTGTTGGAGGGAAAGGAGAAGGCAGGGAGGGTGGTGGGCTAAAACAAGCTTGCCTAAGGCAGTAGCCAATGAAAACCCACAGCTGACATCCCGAGGGAGTGCACACTCCATTAAGGGTGGTGGTCTGCCAGGTGCCAGGTATGATGCCCAGTGCTCGATCTCACTTACCAGCACAACTGGAGCAGGGGGCCCTTATTAGCCCTGTTTCACAGATGAGGAAACAGAGACTATTGATTATTGAATAACTTAGCCAAGTGGTTAAGTAATCTATCAAAGTGATTTTAAACTCCCTTCAAGCCGTCTGTAGCTCAACTTTCAGCCACTGAAAGACAAGCCTATCGGGTGAGCAAGAACACCAGAGAGACATGCGCTCACGGGAACAATGGACCAGGTGAAATCAAAAGGCAGCACGGACTCAGGAGGCAAAAGCTCAGAAGGCAGGAGGGATAGGAAAAGGAGGATGACAGGATGGCCACCGAGCGGTGAAGTGGGAGGAGCGCCGTGACATCGTGAGGGCTGCAACCAATGTCACACAACAAAACTGTTGACTGGGAAATCAATTTACGTTGTGAATGGCCACCCAAAACACAAAAAATGCCTCCCAAAAGGCAATCTGAGGTTTCTTGGAGGTATAACTTACTACAGTGGCTTGCGATTTTCAAGAACTTAAATCAGCACGTTTTACATCCTAACCCAAGAAACACACAAACTACTAAGTGGCCACATGCAGGGGAAGGACGAGGCTTCCTAACGCCACGATAGAGTGATAACCCTCAGGAGGCCACAGGGGGCCGTTCTACCTGTCCAGCAGAGAGGGTCGCTATGAGTTGGCATCGACTCGACAACAGTAAGATGTGCACATATACATCTATATATGGGAAAGGACAGTTTTGCAAAAATCACTCATTACAATATAGTCTGAGTATCGTTTTATTTCAGCACTTTGTAGTTCTCATTTCCACTGAGTTGATTTCAGAACCGCGAGCAGGTTATGATGTGTAGTTTGAAAAGCCCTGGTCCCTCGTACCTGCTATATCTGCCTCCAATAAAAATAACCCCGAGCGTGTATTAGGTCTACTTCCGTATTCGTATGTGCTGTGCTAGAGAGGTGGCCTGGCTGGTGGTAGAACATCCACGGAATTCCAGGGTCCTGACTCCCCTTCGGAACTCCAGTCAGCTCAACTATCTACACCGCCCACCCCAGAAGAAGCATCTGCTCATTGACCCACTTGCTCGCTCACTCCGAGCATGCACCAAGCACTCATTCAATGCTGTGACTGGACAGCGGGTTCCGGGGACAGTCCCGAGCCATAAACTACTGGCAGGCTGGCTCAGAGGAGAGGAATCCAGGACAAAGCTTCTTTCGGTCCCTTCGCCCTCCTGAACAGCACAGGAATGTCTGGCAGGTCAATTAGGGGCAATGAGTTATTTCATTACCAGATTTGGAGTAAACTAGCTCTCAGGTCCAGCGCAGAAAGACAACATAAAAAGTTTTATCTTTCTCTGACGCTAATCAGATTGGCTTCAAACTAATCCATGGCTGGAGACGGTCTGAACTCTTTGCTCGCTGCTTTTCTGCCCGACCAAGGGAAACCTCAAGGGATAGCAGGGGGTGTTGACACAGTCTCATTGTTGTCAGTGCGTCTGTCTTAGACATCTTCCTGGAGCTGAGCTCCCGAGCAAGCAAAACGAAGTCCAAACACCCGGCGCCTCTCTTTATCTCATGCTCAACTGCTTCAATGACTGCAAAACATTGTGGACGGGAGCATGCAGCTCACCAGGACTTGGACTCCTGGCTGACTGTGGGTTCCCACCCGCAGGGTCTGACAGCAGTACGGGATGCTTTCTCCCGGTCTCCTCAGAGTCCCCACAGCGGAGGACCAGGAAGGCTCCAGCACCTGCGGGTGGGGGCCTGGAGCTGAGCAGTGAGAAGGCCTGTGTGCGCACTGGGATGTGCTACAAACACCGACAGCCTGGGCGGGACTGGAGAAGGAACAGGACACAGATCATCTGTACTCTGAACCTGAACTGAAATGAACAACGATTCAACAAATAGTCTTTGAAGCAGAGTCACAATCGGCCTGCGGATGAGTTAGGGCTCCCTCCAGGGCATGCTGAGGCAAGTTGGGGTGGGTGGGTGGGGGAAGCTACACAGGGTGGGCTAGGGAGAGGCCCACAGGTGGCTCCCGTTTCACTACCCCCTACAAAAGCTTGGAAATGATGACACTGTACACGCCCACTCTGGGTGAGTTCCCCAGAAGAGCCTGGAAACGCTCACCCTCTGCCTCCCGAGGAGTCCTGGTAGCGCAGCGGGTTAATCGTTGGGTTGCCAACCAAACGGTTGGCGGTTGAAACCCACCAGCCTGCCCCAGGAGAAAGAAATGGCAGCCTCGGGAGCCAGGAGCAGTTCTACTCCGTCCTATAGGGTCGCTGTGAGTCGAAATCGACTGGAAGGCTAGTAGGAAAGCATGGGCTAGCTAGCTGGAGGCCATGGAGTGAGGGGGGAAGGTAGTGAGAACCTCACCTCTGCCCCCATCCCCGCGTGGGTCTGTCTCTTCTCTGCCTTTTTCATCTCGGTCTTGGGCATTCCCGTCATTCCTCACATTTGAGGCTAAAGGCGGAAGCAAAACCAATAAACCGTCCCGGGAGCAATCCGTACACCGATAAGGGGAACGGGCGGGAGTGGGAGGATGGGGTTGAAATCTGAGCAGGAGTGACCCACCCCCGGCCCTGCCCGGGTAGGAAGCCCTAGTGTCCTCGGCGAACGGCAGAGGCCAATACCTGAGTAAGTTGAGCCCCATCGCATCCAAGTCTCCCACCTTCCAGTCCAAACAGGAAAAGCCCTAGCAATTCACACTCTACCAACTTTTCTAGTTATTGATTCCCCCAAGGCACCACGAAGTTCTTTGGAGGTTCTCTGAGGCCACCAGGAACCAGGATCCCCAGGGAAGCCCAGTCCCCCGCTCCGAGGCAAAAGGTCCGGAGATCCGTCCTGAGAGCTCGCTCCCAGCCGCTCCCCCCGGACGCCGGCGCCGAAACGCGCCCAGGGCCCGCCGCCCGAGGACCGAGTTATCGCCGGCGCGCCCTGGCGCCGAGGCCCGGCCAGCAGCTGCAGCGGCCTCCGCAAGGCGGGGGCGTCCCGAGCCCTCGAGCCGCAACCACGTCTCCGTCTCCCCGGAACCCCCGCCGCCGCGGGGCGACCAAAAGGAAGCCCCGCACCGAGCCGGGCACCGAGTGACGGCAGCGAGCTCCGCACCAGGCACGGGCCGGGCGGGATTCGAAGCCGGAACGACCCAATGAGGGGGTGCGGCCGCTCTTTCTTACCGCGCTCGGGGTCTCGGGGTGCACGTCCACCAAGGTACACCAGTCCCGCGCCCCGTTCATCTCTCCGCCGGCTAGCAGCAGACTCACTCCGACGTTGGTCCCGGTGTAACTAAGAGGGCGCGTACAGAACCGCCCCCTAGTATAGGAGCGTCCGGGGCGTGGCCTGGCGCTAGACCACGCCCCACCGCGCTATTCACCAATGAGTGGGCTAATAAGATTGATGGGCGGGGCTAACATTCTTCGGGATACGCCCCATCGCCTCTGACTTCTCATTTGTATAAAGGTGGAAGCTTTGGCGCTACCTGGGGTTGCTTAACTAAGCATTTTGCCTAACGTCTGGTTTCATTACCAAATATTTATACGTCTTGCTCAGTCCTTTCAACCCGAAGATCGTCTTGGTCAGAGGGAATAAGTCTGCCCTTGGGGGATGAGGTATTGGAGCCCGCAAAAGCTTCCTTCCATCCAAGCTCTTACGGAGATAAGTCTGTAGTTTTGTGGAGCTGAACAAACCTTTCCTCCTTCGTGATATTGTCAGCACCAAAAGGCCAGCTCACTCAGACTGGCCTAAGCCTGTCTGGCAGGTGCCCTTCCCTGGCAGGAAGCCCAGGCCAAAGTCAAAGCCAGCTTGGTTCTGGGTGGGGCTTGTTTTGCAGAAGCTATTACACCTAAGCTGCCCTTATATGGTTGAGAGAGGCGGGACACATTGCCTTAAAAGGAATTGGTATTCTTCAGAAATTGATGAGCTTCATCTTCTCTACTGCATTTGCTCCCAAGCTAGGCTGGCAGCTTGGTGGTGCCCTCGCAGGCAGTTGGCCCAGTGGGTGGCAGCTCCTTTCGGCAATGGTCCACCTGTATGGACAGCAGGCAGAATACCTTGCCAGGTCTGGTTGACTCTGGGACGGACCAAAACCCAAACCAAACCCACTGCCATAGAGCTAGCAGATTCTGACTCAATGCCTCCATACAGGGTTTCCAAGACTTACATCTTTTCTTTTTTTTTTTCTTTTTTAACATTTTATTAGGGGCTCATACAACTGTTATCCCAATCCATACACACATCAATTGTGTAAAGC